GGTCTACAGGCCTGCGGGCTGCTATTGAATTGTATTAATCTTACAACTTTCTAGTAGGAAGACAACCCCCCCCCCCCCCCAACACAGCATCAACGCCCGTGAACCCTCCAGACGTCAGCCACAACCCCCCCCCCCCCCCCCCCAACACAGCATCAACGCCCGTGAACCCTCCAGACGTCAGCCACAACCCCCCCCCCCCCACACTCAACAGTAATCCATCTCTCAGTAGGATAAGGCACGACCTCTCTTCACATTCTCACCCTAAATGAGTATTTTCACTTAGTACTTATGTCGGTGTAATCCTTTTTTTCTGCCGCAATCTTTTAGCTTTTGTTTATATCTTTAACAGATTAATTATCAAAATAGAGTAAGAGTGCCTGGTGGTGGCGCTTGCAAACACGGACACTGTCACCTGCAAGATAACGCTGGAAACTCTGATTATTGCACTACTCCTCCCCACCAGCGGTCTGGTACACACACGTTACCTACCTACCAGGCGTCCAACAGCCTGCTTCATCACTCCACCAACCAGGAGGCCTGGTCAGGAACCGGACCGTTGGGACGTTGTTCCCCGAAATCATCGCAAGGTAACGCAAGGTAAAGTATCTACCTACCATGTGTCCACTTTGTGGTGATTTCAGGGATCAAAGATCCCGTGGCCCGGTCTCTGACCAGGCCTCCCGGTTGGTCGTCTGGTCAACAAAGCTGTTGGACGCGGCTGCTCGCAGCCTGGCGTATGAATCACAGCCTGGTTGATCAGGTATTCATTGGATGTGTTTGTCGAATTATCTCAGGGGATCGTCCAAATTAAGCTCCTTACGTGTATCGGAAAAGTGTTGAAAAGTCTCGGACCTGCTTGATACCTGGTTGATGGGGTTCTGGGAGTTCTTCTACTCCCCAATGCCGACCCGAGGCCAGGCTTGACTTGTGAGAGTTTGGTCCACCAGGCTGTTGCTTGGAGCGGCCCGCAGGCCCACATACCCACCACAGCCCGGTTGGTCCGGCACGTTTTTTTTTTTTTTTTTTATAAAAGTCTAGTTTCTTCTTGAAGATGTCCACTGTTGTTCCGGCAATATTTCTTATGCTCGCTGGGAGGACGTTGAACAACCGCGGACCTCTGATGATTATACATTTTTCTTTGAGTGTGCCTATGGCACCTCTGCTTTTCACTGGTTCTATTCTGTATTTTCTTCCACATCGTTCACTTCAGTATGTTGTTCCAGTATGTACCCTTGGTGTTGATGGAGTTCTCCCTCAGAGTACCTACTGCACCTCTACTTTTCAATGGGGCTATTTTGCAAATCCTGCCGTGCCTACTGGTTTCATACGACAATCTCCGTGTTCAGATTTGGAACCAGTCCCTATAATATTTTCCTAGTGTAGATTATTATGTAATTCTCTCTCTCGCCTCCTCTCTAGAGAATACAAATTTAGAACTGTTAATCGGTCCCAATAATTTAGATGACTTATAAGAGGATTCTCTCGGTAAAGGATCTTCGCATGCTCTCTAGGTCAGCAATTTCTCAGGCTCTGAATGGGGCTGTTAATATGCAACAATATTCCACCCTAGAGAGCACTAGCGTCTTGAAAAGTTTCAGTGTTATGGCGTCCCTTGTTTGGAAGGTCCTTGTTATCCAACCTGACATTTTTCTTGCAGTCGTGACAGCTACTTTATGGTGTTCTTTAAAGGTGCGGTCTTCCGACATGATTACTCTTAAATCTTTTGCATTGAACCTTCTTCAATACGTTGTACTAATTTACAGTCAAATTTGGTTTAATAATGTCTTCAGAATAAGTTGTACGTGATACAAGTTCTAATCAGTTCATAATACAAAGTGGCTACTATAATATAATTTATTCACTATGAGCTCACAACAGCGCGATGTTCCTATGGGAAAATATTGAAGCTGTACAATGGAATCGAACAAACGTCCCTAGACTTGCCATACACACACACTACTAAGCATCGTCCAGTAGGTAGTGTGTGTGTGTGTGTGTGTGTGTGTGTGTGTGTGTGTGTGTGTGTGTGTGTGTGTGTGTGTGTGTGTGTATTCACCTAGTTGTGCTTGAGGGGGTTGAGCTCTGCTCTTTTGGCCCGCCTCTCAACTGTCAATCAACTGTTTCTACTACTATTTTTTTCCCTCACACACACACACACACAGTCTCTGTGTGTGTGTGTGTGTGTACTCACCTAGGTGTGTTTGCGGGGGTTGAGCTCTGGCTCTCTGTGTTTGGGTAGTTTAGCGATGCTGATTCGACCCCATATTATAGCCTCAATGCTATCATTACTATGCTATTACTATTTGAGCATTACTATGTTCAGATTTGGAAGGGTGAAGTCTCTTAGAAGGATAATATTCCCAACTTGGGGTCTTTAGGGCTTGTGGTCAATGGTCAATATTTCTTATCTGTTGAGGCAATGTCTGGGCGTCACGCCTGGGGCTGTGTGAGACTCGCTTCTCACGCATCATACACTTTTGACCAGTCTGTACCAGGTGTAGCGTGAGCTTTGTGTTGCCTCAGCGTGTGTGTGTGTGTGTGTGTGAGGTTTGTGTGTGTGTGTGAGGTTTGTATGTGTGCGTGTGTGTGAGGTTTGTGTGTGTGTGTGTGTGTGTGTGTGTGTGTGTGTGTGTGTGTGTGTGTGTGTGTGTGTGTGTGTGTGTGTGTGTGTGTGTGTGAGGTTTGTGTGTGTGTGTGGTTTGTGTTGCCTCAGCGTGTGTGTGTGTGTGTGTGTGTGGTTTGTGTTGCCTCAGCGTGTGTGTGTGTGTGTGGTTTGTGTTGCCTCAGCGTGTGTGTGTGTGTGTGTGTGTGTGTGTGTGTGTGTGTGTGTGTGTGTGTGTGTGTGTGTGTGTGTGTGTGTGTGTGTGTGTGTGTGTGTGTGGAGGTTTGTGTGTGTGTGTACTCACCTAATTGTACTCACCTAATTGTGCTTGCGGGGGTTGAGCTTTGGCTCTTTGGTCCCGCCTCTCAACTGTCAATCAACTGGTGTACAGATTCCTGAGCCTACTCGGCTCTATCATATGTGTGTGTGTACTCACCTAATTGTGCTTGCGGGGGTTGAGCTCTGGCTCTTTGGTCCCGCCTCTCAACCGTCAATCAACTGGTGTACAGATTCCTGAGCCTATTGGGCTCTATCATATCTACATTTGAAACTGTGTATGGAGTCAGCCTCCACCACATCACTTCCTAATGCATTCCATTTACTAACTACTCTGACACTGAAAAAGTTCTTTCTAACGTCTCTGTGGCTCATTTGGGTACTCAGCTTCCACCTGTGTCCCCTTGTTCGCGTCCCACCAGTGTTGAATAGTTCATCCTTGTTTACCCGGTCGATTCCCCTGAGGATTTTGTAGGTTGTGATCATGTCCCCCCTTACTCTTCTGTCTTCCAGTGTCGTGAGGTGCATTTCCCGCAGCCTTTCCTCATAACTCATGCCTCTTAGTTCTGGGACTAGTCTAGTAGCATACCTTTGGACTTTTTCCAGCTTCGTCTTGTGCTTTGTCTTGTGTGTGTGTGTGTGTGTTTACTAGTTGTGTTTTTGCGGGGGTTGAGCTTTGCTCTTTCGGCCCGCCTCTCAACTGTCAATCAACTGTTTACAAACTAACTACTAACTATTTTTTTTTTCCCCACACCACACACACACACCCCAGGAAGCAGCCCGTGACAGCTGACTAACTCCCAGGTACCTATTTACTGCTAGGTAACAGGGGCACTTAGGGTGAAAGAAACTTTGCCCATTTGTTTCTGCCTCGTGCGGGAATCGAACCCGCGCCACAGAATTACGAGTCCTGCGCGCAATCCACCAGGCTACGAGTGTGTGTGTGTGTGTGTGTGTGTGTGTGTGTGTGTGTGTGTGTGTGTGTGTGTGTGTGTGTGTGTGTGTGTGTGTGTGTGTGTGTGTGTGAGGTTTGTGTTGCCTCAGCGTGTGCAGGGAGAGCGTGGGAGCTTTGCAGTGTAGTGTGGTGTGGGGGTGTAGTGTGGTGTGGGGGTGTAGTGTGGTGTGGGGGTGTAGTGTGGGGAGTAGTGTGTAGTGTAGTGTGGGGTGTAGTGTAGTGTGGGGTGTAGTGTGTAGTGTAGTGTGGGGTGTAGTGTGTAGTGTAGTGTGGGGTGTAGTGTGGGGTGTAGTGTGGGGTGTAGTGTGTAGTGTAGTGTGGGGTGTAGTGTGGGGTGTAGTGTGGGGTGTAGTGTGGGGTGTAGTGTAGTGTGGGGTGTAGTGTGTAGTGTAGTGTGGGGTGTAGTGTGGGGTGTAGTGTAGTGTGGGGTGTAGTGTGGGGTGTAGTGTGGGGTGGGGTGTAGTGTGGGGTGTAGTGGGGTGTGGGGTGTAGTGGGGTGTGGGGTGTAGTGGGGTGTGGGGTGTAGTGTGTTGTGGGGTGTAGTGTGTGGTGTAGTTGTATGGTGTGGTGTGGTTTGCCGGAACAAACATCTTCAAGAGAAAAACTAGATAATTTTCTTCAAGAAGTGCCGGACCAACCAGGCTGTGGTGGATCTGTGGGCCTGCGGGCCACTCCAAGCAACAGCCTGGTGGACCAAGTTATCACAGGTCAAGCCTGGCCTCTGGGTAGAAGAGGAACTCCCAGAACCCCATCCAGGCACAATGGTAGTGGTATGGTGTGATGTGGTGTAGTATGGCGGGGTGAGGCGCCATTACTGCCTCACTACCGAGAGAAGTGATGGTACACACATCAAGGAGAAAAACTGCTCATCACCCACCAGCAGCACCTTGCTGCTTGTATGACTCTCCAAGATATCTACACCACGAGGCAGTCAGTCTTTCTCCACTCTCATCCCTTCCTTACATTCCGGATATGATTGGTTATACACAAGGTCCGCGGAGGCAGATGTATGACAACATGCCCCTATGACAGTGTGTAGCAGTGGTCCGGTATCTTTACATGTATGGTTAACCTGGACACTCCTTACATAGTTCTTAACTTCTCTTGTCGGTCACAAGTAATGAATACCAACCCAGGAAGAGGAAAGAGCGTGTACTTCAGCCTTACCTGAGACCCCGGGCGTAGTCAAGTTCGATCTGACATCTTTCCTTGACGAAGTGACCGTACTGCTCCAGAAAGCTGATGCCCTTGTGTGTGTGGCCTGCGATGCACTCCCACTGGTCCTGCAGGGAAAGGAGGGAACCTTTAGTATCGTGACCACAGATGGCTGCTAGGTTCTGGCGGATGATTGAGAGATATGACGGGGGCACGAGATGTGATGCTGGCAGGCGAGAATGATGGGAAAGATTGGGGATGTGCAACGTTTAAAACCAACAGGTTAGGGTGGGCATGGTTAAGAACATGCTACTGCCAGTGAAAGCTTACATTAGTTTAAGTGGCTGTCAGTGAGAGCAAGGACTACCCCGTAAGATTCTCAACTCGTTATTACTGTTATTATGAGCCTCTTGCTGACTATCTTTCGGTTGACATTTTCAAGTGCTAGATGAGCAGACTTTCAATCACAGAAAATTGGTAGGTAATTTTAGTTCCATGGGTCATTCCAGTGGTCAACAGGACGCACTGTAGCAGCCTGTAGGTTGTATACAGTGCGTATACATATGTATACAGTGCGTTGTAAACATATGAAACAATACTTGCATACAGACTGCCAGTGTCAGGTTAAACAATTGGTTGAGTGAAATCTACACTAACAAAATTAGCTTGGTCCCGCCTCTCAACTGTCAATCAACTGGTGTATAGATTCCTGAGCCTACTGGGCTCTATCATATCTACATTTGAAACTGTGTATGAAGTCAGCCTCCACCACATCACTGCCTAATGCATTCCACCTGTTAACTACTCTGACACTGAAAAAAGTTTTTTCTAACGTCCCTGTGGCTCATGTGGGTACTCAGTTTCCACCTGTGTCCCCTTGTTCGCGTGCCACCCGCGTTAAACGGGTAAACTCAATATTTGGGGCATTCATGGAAACTCGTACGAAAGATTTCATGGATAATGAAATCTGGATTCCAAATTATAATTTATATAGATGTTATAGAGAAACTAGGTCAAATGGAGGAGTAGGTCTGTATATTAAGGAGTATGCACAGACCTACTAAACTCAACCAATGAGGTGGTAGAGGTATTTGGAATTAAGGTAGAAAAAATAAACCTAATTATTATCTTTATATATAAATCGCCAGATACAACGGTTGAGGAATTCACAGAGCAGATGCACAAAATAGAGAACATCCTTGATAACCTAGCGAACCCAACTCCATATATTATCTTCCTTGGAGATTTCAATTTACCAAATCTAAGATGGAGAATGACAAACAAAACTATAGCAGGGAACCACCTGGAAAATAACCAACCACAGATCATAAAACGTTTGAGATTCTGTGACAAATTCTCGCTCAATCAACAAATTATAGAACCAACTAGGAACGAAAACTGGTGGAGGCTGACTCCATACACGGTTTCAAATGTAGATATGATAAAGCCCAGTAGGCTCAGGAATCTGTACACCAGTTGATTGACAGTTGAGAGGCGGGACCAAACAGCCAGAGCTCAACTCCCGCAAGCACAACTAGGTGAGTACACACACGTGCGTGCGCGTGTGTATTCACCTAGTTGTGCTTGCAGGGGTTGAGCTCTGCTCTTTTGGCCCGACTTTCAACTGTCAATCAATCAACTGTTACTAACTACTATTTTTCTCACACTCACACTCACACACTCACTTCCCTGCCACTAGTGTCTCACGCCCCCCCCCCCCCCCCATCCCACACACATTCACTCCCCAAGCACGTGCCATATCTTCCCACTCTTACACACACGCACCCAAACCAGGGCGTATACTCCAGTAGTAGTGTAAGGCGTGACGCAACACAGACAACTGTGACGCAACTAAGACAACTGTGACGCAACACTAGGAGTCCAGCCTTGATCTGACGCGTCTACAATGGGTTGTCTACGGCAGGAACTCGACACCGTTATCTACTTTTGAAACTACTATATTTTCTTCCATCTCTCCTTCTTGTGTATTCCATTTGCACATTACTCTTACACTAAAACAAATGTAAATATCATCTTAATTTTAACTCATCTGCTCAAAGTTACCATAGTCCTTTGTTTTACGCTGTCTTACACTGAGCACACTCTTTATTGATTTATCAATCCCAGTGAGAATCTTATATACCGTTATCATGTCCCCTTTTATCCGTGTAGTCAGCTGTGGTATGATCCACCGCCTTCAACATTGTCCCAGAGCTTAGCCTGCGCAGTTCTGGTACAAGACTCGTTGCATACCGCTGAACTTATTCAACGGGTCTTCTTGCTCAGTCCCCCAATCTCCTCTACCTTGCATGTGCGTAGGATGAAGACGAGAAGTCTTTTCTCACACAAGACCTGAAGCTTACCCAAGTCGTCCAGCAACTCTTGCAATCCTTGTTTTCAGTCTCTTTCAATAAATTGTAAACATCCGCTAACATTGAAATTACTGCACCAGCTTCCCCCATTCGAGTAATTAACGCATTCCAGATATATGACAGGCTGGAGCCGCATGCTCCGAGGGAGTCTTATACAAGTTGAACACGGTGCTTTGACTTTTGTTCCTGACGGGTGTGAAGTATACTCTGACGAGTGCCAGTTGTGTGAGTGTTGCACGCCTTGACGGGTGTGAAGTATACTCTGACGAGTGCCAGTTGTGCGAGTGTTGCACGCCTTGACGGGTGTGAAGTATACTCTGACGAGTGCCAGTTGTGTGAGTGTTGCACGCCTTGAGGGGTGTGAAGTATACTCTGACGAGTGCCAGTTGTGTGAGTGTTGCACGCCTTGACGGGTGTGAAGTATACTCTGACGACTGCCAGTTGTGCGAGTGCTGAACGCCTTACTTTGCTGAGCTGTTCCTCTGGCATCACGTTTGGTGGAATGTAAACTCCAACATCTTCCTGCACAGGTTGAGGAACATACTGCCTCTACTGTACTCTGGGCCTGGTGGTCGTCTCGCTCCTGCTCAGTCTAGTACAACAACTTCCTATTACTGCTAAAGGGAATTCCGATGTTCTCACAATTCCCTTCAGTCTTTGTCAGTTCATATCCGCACTGAACATTTATATAATCTCCGACACATTCCGGTGCTCAGTTTTCGCCTGCATGGAATTTGTGATCTAATTTTAATTCGTGCTCCCTCAGCTGAAATAACCTCTTGCCTATTGTGGCCGTATTTTGTGCCACCCCTGCTCCGTCTCTAATGCTGTGGGTATACTGAGCTTCATGTGCTTGCAGGGAAGGTGAAGGGTGCGTACGTGGGCGTGCATGCGGACGCTCGTGCTGGCGTGCATAGGAGTAACTAGGCTACCCCGTCAGGGTTGCCAGCCAGGGTGAGTGTTGGGGCCACCTTGGGAGTCCTCACACCACCCACGCCCACTGCGTTAACACGCCCGCCCGCCCACCCACCACTCTGCACGACACTCCACACACCTTTCCAATGCCCACTTTATTTGACTAATAACTTACATGTGCATAATTGCGAGCACCGTGGACGGTGTGAAGGGTTACAGAGCTCGAGTCAAGAGCTAGTAGCTGCCAGATATTAAGATCTCCATCTCGCGGGACGGCTTGTCATGGGGGTGCATAAGGTCTGTGAGCCGGCCCTGGCAAACGTTGGATACATTATGGAGATATCCTCAAGAGCACCTGAGTGGATGAAGTATCCGCACAGCTCCAAGTACCCTCATACCGAGAGGTGTACGCCACACCTCACACGCCAACCACTCCTATGAGTTACCAAGCTTATAGTATTGATGAAGGGTAGAGCATGGTGGGCACGGCGGGAAGAGGACGGGCAGTATATGTAGAGGCACCACACGGGTGGAGGCACGGCTTGCAACAATGGGGGGAATAGTTGTGGGGTTGTAGGGGGGAAGGGCTGTGGGGTTAACCTGGTTGATACCTGCTTGATGGGGTTCTGGGAGTTCTACTCCCCTAGCCCGGCCCGAGGCCAGGCGCGACTGGAGAGCATTTGGTCCACCAGGCTGTTGCTTGGAGCGGGCCCGCAGGCCCACATACCCGCCACAGCCCGGTTGGTCCGGCACTCCTTGGAGGAAACCATCTAGCTTCCTCTTGAAGATGTCCACTGTTCTTCCGGCAATAATTCTTATGCTCGCTGGGAGGGTGTTGAACAACCACGGACCTCTGATGTTTATACAGTGCTCTCTGATTGTGCCTACGGCACCCCTGCTCTTCACTGGTTCTATTCGGCAGTTTCTATGCAGAAACGCAATTCTGTATTAATTCTGCATTAATATTGCAAAAAAATGCAATTCTGCATTTTCTATGCAGAATTTTCTATGCTTCATATTTCTACATTCTATTCTGGGGGGGAAAGGGTTGTGGGGTGGGGAAGGGTTGTGGGGGGAAGGGTTGTGGGGGAGGAAGGGTGGTGGGGAGTAAGGGTGGTGGGGAGTAAGGTGGAGGTGTGTGGTGAACAAGCCAGGCTGACATACAATACTGTGCGTGACGTCACAGGAGCGCGCCCTCAAGCCGCCACAATATACCCGGGCGGGCGACCTGCTGTTGTCGCGCAGGAGTGCCGCGCCGCACACGCTCCCAACATTACTCTCCTACACCTTAGCACAGTAATGGGTCAGTGCACGCGCACACACACTAATCCCACCACACGCGCCCACAATATCACCTGCATTTGCAAGGTTGATCAACGTAAGAGGCGAGAGAGCCTCTGTGTTTACGGATTTTATGATTTTAATATATGAGTACATGTTTAGAGTTGATACATAACTTTTTGGGTAATTTTGTGGTACAGACAAGTTCCATTCCTTGTTTTGTATGTACCGAGTTAGAATGGATGGTGGCAGCTACTTCTACGTTCTACCTCTACGTTCTTCTACTCTACTATTTTCTACTTTCCTCATTGTCTACTCTACTATTTTCTACTTTCCTCATTGTTCCATTATCAGTCTTTCTCTAACTTAACCCTTCCCTACTCCCATACTCCTTCCTCACACCTCCCTCACACCTCCCTCACACCTCCCTCACACCTCCCTCACACCTTCCTCACACCTCCCTCACACCTTCCTCACACCTCCCTCACACCTTCCTCACACCTCCCTCACACCTTCCTCACACCTCCCTCACACCTTCCTCACACCTTCCTCACACCTCC